TCAACACCCAGAACAATTAGTTTTAAACAGTTAGGCCACAATATTTTGTAAGCTTATGCTGTAGTTTTTTAATGTTTGTCATAAACAATAGTAATAGTAAAACTAATGCGTTTCTTTCTGTTATTACAATAGTAGTGAAAGAATAAATGCATTTTATCTCATACAATCATATATGCCTAAACAATGTAGATATTTAATATACATGGAATGAAAAACTTCACTAACCCTTGACTGATTCCAGAGTGGTCTTGGCCTTCCTTACATGGTGGTGCTTTCTGCAGATCACCAAGTTGTCATCAAAACTTGAGCTTATAATTGAGATCTTGATGATAAATCTGAGTATTGAGGAATCACTCATGGTGATAGGCAGAAACAGGCTGAAAGACACAAGAATTAATCAAACAAATATAAATGTGTTAACAGAGATAGAGAGACAAGTGCAATTTAACATATAAACATGGGTAAAGTGATTTTACTTTTTGCTTATTAGAAAACAAAATTGGATTTTTAAAGAAATCTAAAGAACCTGAAAAGAGTAAAGAAAAAATATTCATATCTGAACAGTGAACACCTTATAATGTACACCTGTATATATATATATATATATATATATATATATATATATATATATATATATATGTGTGTGTGTGTGTGTGTGTGTGTGTGTGTGTGTGTGTGTGTGTGGTAGATTAAGCTATTTTTTGTTTAGTTTTGTGTTGTACAATGAATAAAATGTGCTCAGACGGGCAAAATTTCTGCCTTTTTCCTTTAAAGGCATGGAAAATAATTGTTTTTACAATAAACCTTTGGAAACACTTGATGTTCTTTAATATTGAAACAATTACGAATACATTTGTATTATTAGAGTTGCATATTGCATATTATATATAGATTTTGCACGAATTCTATTGTGGAAAACAACAATCTGGTTACACTGTTCCTTATCTTAAAATGTATATATTGTTCTAATGCATGACCAACGTTATATGTGAGAAAAATATGTTTTTAATAAATGAACTTGATGTAATTAGATAACGTCGCTAGTTTACAGTACATGCTTTATCAACAAATCGTGTTTATTTGTTTACTTTTTACTTACCTTGTGGAAAACCGCAGTGAACCTTGGGATCGCAATGAACCTTGGGATAGCGAGCATAGACTGTAAAAAATAGATCGCCACATACAATGACCCCAACTTTAATAAATAATTTAAAATGAAAAATATCAGCTGAAAACATTTTTAAACTTAGTACTTGAAATTTAATATTTTTTTAAAGTAAAATAATAAAGTAAATAATAAATAATATGAATGAATCAAAGTTTTATTAGGCATAGTTACCCTAAACTGGACAACCGAATATATTTTCACTCATTAAATATAAAGTAAATGATAACATATTTATAAACACCAACTAATCTCCAATAAAAATATATTATGCAGCATTAACGTAATATTTAATGTTGACAGTTGAACTCATCTGAGAACTCACCGCTGATGCAGTTTGACCAATAGCGGAGCGGCATTAAACTCACCGTGAAGGGATGTCACGTGGGCCGAAGTTTATTCATACAGTAGTTTCGACCCCGTTTACAGACGCTTTTCATGAACAAAATAAAAATTACATATTTTTAAAATAAGAAAACTAAGATAATAGGCGTAAATCAGGTTTTAAAAATTGCGTTGACATCTATTGGTAATTATACGAGCCTCCAGCGTCTCCATATGACGCCTCAGGCTCAGGCACAGATTCTATAGGGAATCCCTGCACGTCTAAATATGACGCTAAAGGGGTACCCTGTGCGTCAATAACTGACGCCGAGGGTTCCTGACCAAGCGTCAGTATGTGACGAGTTGGGAGTGAGAACGTGTTGTGTTGAAATAAATCTTCCCTCCGTTAAACAGAAATTGGCAGCTGCTTATGAATGAATTTAAATTGTTCAGGATATTTTTCTTAATCTTAAAATAACATTAAAGTAAATAATAATAAATTACAGCCCAAACATGACTCTCCTTGATATATAACCGGGTTACTTTTTAAAGTGAATTAAGTTTGTAATATATTACTTTTAGAAGTGACTTTACTCAACACAAAACCCCAAAACCCAGTTTGTCCATATTTGACCCAACTTTTGGTCTCGAAAACAGCATTTTTTAGAATTTACAGGTTTGTTTTATATTAATTGACTCTTTTTGTACCCAGTGGTTGGGTTTGTCCAGATTTTACCCAATGTTGGGTTATTTTCCACCAACCATCCAACATTTTTAAAAGTGAACCATTGGGTGAATAGTTTTTTCAATTACATTTAAACTACACTTTTTAACCTAACATTGAGTTGCAGCAACCCAGCATACATTTTTATAGTGTTGGATTTGTTCATATTTGACAACCATGTTTTGACGACATTTATTTATTTTTTTGACCATTTGGTTGTTTTAATATTACTTCAATTAATTTTTTTTCTACTCAGTGTTTCAGTTTGTCCACTTTGACCCACCATTGGGTTACTGTGTAACTCTACAACTCCTGTATTACACCATTTTTAAGAGCAAACCATTAGGTTATTTTTTCAATTATATTTAAACTACACTATTTACACCAATGTTCGGTTACAACAACCCAGCACATAGACTATACAGTGTTGGGTTTGCCCATATTTGACCCATTGTTTAGATTCAACAACCCAGCAGTTTTAAATAGTGTTGGGTTTTTCCATATTTAAACCAACGTTTAGATTTAACAACCCGCAGTTTTATATAGTGTTGGGTTTGTTTATATTTGACCCAACTTTTAGATTCAACCCAGCATTTTTAAATAGTGTTGGGTTTGTTCATATATCTGACCCAGTGTTTAGATTCAACAACCCAGCATTTTTTTAGAATGAACCTTCTTTAAAATTATAATTAAAACGCAGTTTTTCTACACAATGGATACGCTTGTCCATATTTAAACCAACGCTGGGTTACTGTACATATCTTACCATTTTTCAGAGTGAACCATTGGGTTATTTATTATTTCAATTATATTTAAACTACACTTTTTACCTAAACATTAGGTTACAACAACCGAGCAGTTTCATACAGTGTTGGGTTTGTCCATATTTGACCCAATGTTTAGATTCAACAACCCAGCAGTTTTATATAGTGTCGGGTTTGTCCATATTTGACCCAACGTTAAGATTCAACAACCCAGCAGTTTCATATAGTGTTGGGTTTGTCCATATTTGACCCAACGTTAAGATTCAACAACCCAGCAGTTTTATATAGTGTTGGGTTTGTCCATATTTGACCCAACGTTTAGATTCAACAACCCAGCAGTTTTATATAGTGTCGGGTTTGTCCATATTTGACCCAACGTTCAGATTCAACAACCCAGCAGTTTTATATAGTGTTGGGTTTGTCCATATTTGACCCAACGTTTAGATTCAACAACCCAGCAGTTTCATATAGTGTTGGGTTTGTTTATATTTGACCCAACGTTAAGATTCAACAACCCAGCAGTTTTATTGAATCTTATTTTAACCCAATGGTTATGCTTGTCCATATTTAAACCAACATTGGGTTACTGTACAACAACTTACCATTTTTAAGAGTGAACCATTGGGTTATTTATATATTTAATGATATTTTAGCCTCATTTTTTACCTAACGTTGGGTTATATCAACCCAGCATTCTTGAAAGTGGAGCGGCAGCTGGAAATGATATTTACGGCAGCAGATACACATCAGCGGGTGCAGTAAAGTTCACATGTCGCAATCACAGCAGGGTGTGTTCAAACAGACACACAGACACACACACTCACACAAACACACACACACACACACACACACGCTCAATAAAAGCATGATGTAATGTCTTTGCGTGTTGTGGATCTGCACGCACCTCAGGACTTCAATAGGAAGACATTAATTTAAAGCCACACTGACAGCAGCGGCGTAGGCGTCCACGAAAGTGCCTGCGGAGAATCCAGCTCACGCCTGTCAATCAAACCTACACCAATAATCCAACATAGGCTCAACATATTTATTTACATATTCAAATACAATTGACTTTACCGTTGGCATTCAGCGCGAATAAAGGCTCCCCTTTCATATTTACATACATTTGGTGAATCAATGCTAGAAAATTAGGGCTTTAGATTGAGCTGCTGAGAACTGAAGCAGAGAAACTCCCGCACGGTTTAAACAGAAGTGTTAAACGCTGATGAAGGCAGTTGAAGATCAGAATCTGAAGAACAGTAAGAGCATTAAGGGCAGATCTTCAGAAATAATTCAATAAAAGTCTCTTCCTGCTTGATTTACAAGCCAAATACAAATAGAGGTTCAAATGACACTGCATCCTAATCACATATTCAACTGTCATATGTGTGTGTGAGTGTGTGTGTGTGTGTGTATGCACAAAAAAAATGCTGGGATGTTGTAACCCAACAATGGGTCAAATCAGCACAATCTCACGTAACTTTAGGATTTAGTGGCTGATTCTAATATAATGTCATATAAAGATAATATACAGTTAGCCCCTACCCCAATTAGGTTTAGGGGCGGGGTTTGGGGCCACACCTCTTACAAAAAATCACTTTTTCAAACAAATAAACTCGTATAATTTGTACGAATTTCCGACCCAACGCTGGGTTACAAACAGATTTTTTTGTATTTGTGTTTGTGTACTCTCATATAACCCAACAATGGGTCAGCTGAGCACAATGTCATGTAGCTTTGATTTAGAGGCTAGTTCATCTTTATTTGTTTGATCTCATTCCTTCATTTTAGAACAGTTTGCTCCTCTGCTTATGAGGGTTAGGGTTAGGGCTGTGGGTAGGCCAGAAATCATACATTTTCATATAAATTAAATCCTAAATCACTTTTCTGACCAGATGTAAAATAGTTACGCTTCCTCTTGAGATCGGGCTGATCAAATATGGACAAACCCAACTGTTGAGTTAAACAAAACTGACTTCATTCAAAACATTTAACCCAGTATTGCGTTTGTCCATCTTTGACCGAGAGCTGGGTTACAACAAACAACATTTTTTAGATGTATGTATGTGTATGCATGTGTGTGTATATGTGTGTGTGTGTATTCATGTGCGCTTGCCTATGTATTTGTGTGTGTTTGTGTTTATGCGTGTGTGTGTGTGTGTGCACAAAAAATTGCTGGGATGTTGTAACTCAACAGTGGGTCAAATTAGTTCAATCTCACGTAACTTTATGATTTAGTGGCTGATTCTAATATAATCTAATATAAAGCTAATATACAATTAGCTCCTCCCCCAATTGGGTTTAGGGGCGGAGTTTGGGGCCACACCTCTTTAAAAAAAAATCACATTTCCATACAAATAAAGTTGTATATATTATATGAATTTCTGACCCAACACTGGGTTACGACAAACCAGATTTTTCTGTATTTGTGTGTGCGTGTTTGTGTACACGCTAAATAAGTGCTGGGTTGTTGTTGTAACACAACAATGGGTTGACTGAGCACAATGTCATGTAGCTTTGATTTAGAGGCTAGTTCATCTTTATTTGTTTGATCTCATTCTTTCATTTTAGAACAGTTTGCTTCTCTGCTTATGAGGGTTAGGGTCAGGGCTGTGGGTAGGCCAGAAATCTTACATTTTCATGTAAATTAAATCCTATGAATTTGTATGAATTACCCACTTTTCTGACCAGATGTGAAATAGTTACGCTTCCTATTGAGATCGGGCTGATCAAATATGGACAAACCCAACTGTTGGGTTAAACAAAACTGACTTCATTCAAAACATTTATCCCAGTATTGTGTTTGTCCATCTTTGACCAAGAGCTGGGTTACGACAAAACAGCATTTTTTAGAACACGTGTGTATGTGTGTGCGCATGTATGTGTGTGTAATTGTGCGCATGTGTGTATGTATGTGCGTGTATATATATATATATATATATGTGTGTGTGTGTGTGTGTGTGTGTGTGTGTGTATGTGTGTGTGTATGTGTGTGTGTTTTCTGCAGCGTTTGTGTCTTTAGTAGATCCCGTATGCTGTGTGTGTGTGTGTGTGTGTGTGTGTTTGTGTGTGTATTTGAGTCTCTAGTACAGATCCCGCATGATGTATGTATGTATGCATGTATGTGTGTGTGTGTGTGTGTGTGTGTGTGTTTGTGTGTGTGTGTTTGTGTGTGTATATGTGTCTCTAGTACAGATCCTGCAT